GGTCAGATGATGAGGGAAATAAAATATGCATTCTTACAACCGTCTAAAACATATCACCATATAAATATCGTATAGTAAACATTGTCATAATTCATCAACATTAGTTCATAAGCAATCGCTTGAGCTTGTAGAGCGCGCAACAGCGCCTCGTTTTCCCGCGGTTAGATCAGAATGATGCAAGTTACAATGATGAGAACGATGCAAATGTAGGTAACTACCACACTGACCGAGTCTGAATGGATATCATCCCAAATCGTCCTTCCCTAACATTTTCATCTGAAAAGGCAAAAATGCCTGTGCCGGCGTCACTCCAGCAAGACTCTGTGCCTTTGTACAGATTCGTGTGGCAGTCGTCGGTTCGTGCTTTTCTTTACTTCTCATCGCAAAAATATCCTGACCTAAAGCTTTGGAGAGTAGCCTTTGATTCTTGGGGTTGTTCTTCACCGGTGATGCAATAGCAAACTTTTTCAGGTGCTTCTTCAACCGTTCGGCCTGGAGGCTGGGAAATATCCCGTGAGAGGACCCTGCTCCTGCTGCCGAAGTGTGAAAACACAACTGTGTTTCAGAAGGAAGTCTGGTGTTCACCTTCTTAACAATTACAAGCGATTTAGTTTCAGTTGACTGCAGGAACCACCTGCAGATACTGGACAAGTCAAAGGGCTTCATGAATAGCATTTGCACAGCGGATAACTTTTGTTGTTCCAATGGCCTTGACTTTCGTACTCTGCGTTTGCTTTTCCAGATTTCTTTAAGCCTGTCTGCCTTGTTTTTGGGTTTTGGTGCAGGCTGACCCTCCTTGTCCACTGGAACCCAACTTTTGTGCATTTTATCAAACTTTGAATTTAAATTGGAAATCAACTGCTGGTGTTCTTCCCCCCTTAGCGCCTCCAAAAATTTTGGGGGACTGCAAACAACAGGTTCGGTCATCTGAAGACTAGCTATGCGGAAGGACTCATCTGGCAATTTCAGTGAGCCTCTTATTTGGGCCTCCACATGCTTCTGCTTTTGGATTTTACGTTTTGAACTCAAGGGGCTTTCTTCAGCTTCCCCACTTGATGCTGAAACCCTTTGTGGTCTCAGAGGACGTTTATTTCTACTAGGGGTTGTTGTTGAGCCACAGGAATTTTCACTATTAGCTACATTCCCTCTTCTCAACGACACGCGTCCAGGGCTTTCTGATGCATCTACGATAGCAGATTTATTGTTACGGGGCTGTTCTGTAATTAAACTGGCACTGCTTCTTAAGGGCATGTGCCCATTGGCCTCGTTTTTTCTACAGGTAGTACTAGAGTGCGAACTGACAGGTTGTTCACTGATTAAATTTTTACTGGAACTTTTAACAGGAGAATCTTTAGTAACAGTCGGTTTAATTGAGTTAACAGTTCTGCTTCGTAGAGGCATATGCGTTACTGCCTCGGAAGATGTACACAAATCTCTATTAGATGCCTGCTCACTAATAGAGCTGCTATTTCTTAAAGGCATTTGCCCTTGCTTCTCTGAACGGCCTTCTGTCGGACTGATCGACTTGCTACTTAAAGGCCCTTCAGTGTTACTTCTGCTTCTCAAAAGCATATTTTCAGAACTTGGTGAGGACTTGTTGATGGGTGAACAGGGCCCGCTAACAGACAGCTCAACGGAACTACTTTTATTTCTAAGTGGCATTTTTTCAGTGCTTTCAGAGGTTTGATTGTTCAGTTTGTCGTGCTTTCCACTCTCTGGGGAGGAGGTGGTGCTTACAGTCTCTGGAAGAACCTCAGGTGACAAAACACTTGGCAAATCATTATTCACTTTGATGCCTGGACTTGGATGCTCATCTCTCCCAACAGCGGTTGCGGTTCTTGATTTTGGTCTTGTTTTGACTGCATGATCCACAACCAGACTATTACAAGGTTTGGCAGCCGGGACCTCCGGTGCCATTTCAAGAATGTCGACAGCCTTCAAATCAGGCTCCTGCTTAGTATGCACGTTTGTTTCAGTAGAATGAGTCTTTGGGCTTTTATCATTGGCATGATCAACAAGTTCAGAAGCACCACACTTCATAGAGTCTTTTGTTACGTCAACACTGCCTTTACTTCTACTACGCAAGCATCTGTCTGAGGGCACTGCATGTTTTGCATTCAAAACTTTTGAAGTATGCAGATCCACATCCTTCTCTTTACATTTTACAAGTGGTTGTACAGTAGAGACTTCAGTCAGGCTGGACACCGCTGAATCTCCTTGATTCTTCACTGGTAGTTCGGAAGAGTTTGCTTTGTCATGTACAACTTGTTCCTGAGCACCTCTATCCTCCTCAGTGTTTGCTTTTATTTCTGATGCCTCGGATTGTTCCTGGACATCTGCTGCAGTCTCGACTTCCGTGTTTTTTTTTATTTCCCTTTCATTTCTCGGTTCTATGTCGACTTCATCAGTACAGCACTCTTTGGCCATGTTAGGGGACACATGGATCAGTGATGGTTCCAATGATTTATCCTCGCACTCAGCCTTTCTTTCTGTACCACATACCACCTCTTCTGGCATGGGCCCAATTTGGGAGTCACATCCGTCTTTCTGTACAGTGAGTTCTGTTGTTTCTGTGCTTTCTTCTACAGTGTCCATGCATTTCTCTGAGATCAAATCTGGTTGCATGGTTAATTCACTCCGATTACCTGACAGTTCATTGAATATTTGGCCATTACTTTCAGTTTTACCCGTCTGACTGGTTTCAACCATCAGACCCAGACTTGTTACTTTTACGACATCTCCTGGCATTTCATTCTCCGCTATCTGCTCCGATGGTAATTTTGGAATAACATTTTTCATGCAATCCCCTGCAAAAAGTGTGTTTACTAGAGGTACACTGCCAGACTTAGAAAGGACCTGCTTCGGAGTCACTGAGGCGTGCACGTCTGGCATATGAGCTGGACAATTCCCACTAGAATCGCCTATAGATTTACGAGCTAAGGTACGGACTGTTTTTAGTTCCAAGTACTCCTCCACATATTTGTGCCCCCTTGTGCTCTTTCGGGCATTTTGTCGTGGATGCAGTCGATTACGAGATTGAGGCTGACATTCTGTAATTGATTTTCTGATATAAACTATGTCACAATGGCTATCCGGATCATTTATGAGACAACTTAAAGAGCCATTCCTTTGTATAAGGCAAGAACCTTTTCTGCTTTTCCTGGCTGTTCTTGGAGATATTGGTACAACAACATTTGATGTCTTTTGAATTGTGGAGGGTTTCACAACAGCATCTTCGTTTTGTGCAAAGCACTTCTGTGTGCATTTCAACAAATCTGCATGATCAGACACCGCAGTACAAGTTGGCAAGCATCGCTCCGCACTGCATAGACACTTCTTTACAGAACTGCTACTTGGAATTTGCTGAATGCTTGAACCTAACACTTTTTTTGCTCCCAGATTATCAGTAGTTGTCTTTGTCATGACAAACAATTCTGTTGCAGAACTTGTATTTCCACACTCAACACCTGTTCCACAAGATGAAGATGACAAAACTTCCATTTTGCCAATGTCAACTTGTTTTTCAGTCATTACCCGTGCAACACTGGAAACATCAGCCTTTAACACCTCTGCAGTAGGCTTTTGACTGTTTGTGACAACAGATGACTCTTGAGTCTTACAAACGCTCACAGCAGCATCCACGGAGCATGTTCTCTCAGACTGCTGAATCTCAGAGCTGGTTTCAAACGATGCATAACTGCAGCTGGTTGTTGCCTGCTTCTCAGACAAATCTGGTGTGGGTGCTTGGAAATGGTTGGAAGCAGCCACAGTCTTGACTTCGCTTTGTAAGAAGCCTAATGCATCAACTATTTGGTGCTGGTGGTGCAAACACAGCTTTGACATGAACAGTTCCAAAGTGTTCACAGACTGTAGATCTTTTACTTGAGCAAGACTCAGGTCGATGGAGTCCCTGAAAGACCAGGCAAAAAAAAAATTGAAATATAAATGACACATTCTCAACTGTATAATACTGAAATGTATGTTGTATGTGACAAGCAAATAATATAAACCTGGTAAAAAGAGACTGTATATATCCTGATCTACCTTTTGACCAAATGTGTAGTTGGGCTGACATGAGAATTCCTTAAAGATGTATGGCCTTTGTTAAAATTCTTCTTAGTCGAAAGATCAAGAACTCCATCTAAAGAGACACAAATCATTCAAAACAAAGATAAACCAATTTCTTTTTAACTAGTAGCTCTTTACATATTTATAATTCTATACTGCACCTTGCTCAAAGTCCTCCACTTTGATCTTTCTCAGAGAAAGGTCCAGCGGGGCATCTTGGTCCACCATGACGAACTTTTCCTGAGCAGAAGCAACGGAGTCTATTTTGACAGCAGTGGATGAAGTGATACAGCTAGTTTTCAGAAGGCTTTGTTCCTTTTTTCCATTGTTCTGAAGGGAGTCCTGAGAGCAGTTGTTTCTTGAGGTATAATATGAAGCTAACTTATTAATCATCTGCTGCAAGATACCACAAGCCACCACAGGGATGTGAGGATCTGGAATTCTTGGCGCGTATTCTGTTGACAGTTCAATTAGACATGTTGTTAAAAATAAAGCGAACCGTATAATAAAATAAACATCAAAGACTGAAAATAAACATCACAGTTGACAAGGACTTCATTTGAATGTCCAGGAAATAGGACACTTTGATAAGAACAGACTAGAAAGTAAAATTCAGGCTTGGGGTAAATAGCTCTGCTAAATGCACATTAAAACTTGTGAGAGATTAATCGATTTACTTACTCCGGACAGTACCAGTAACTTACTACAGCAAACGTTGCAGTCACTTCCATCACTATAATGCACCATGTCTGACCATTAATTTTCACACAAATGACTGACTATGTGCTGGGATGCTCACCTTTCCTGTGTAACACTGCATTCAGGAATTCCTCTGATTGCCACTCAAGTCTGCTGATATTAGAAGGATCTTTACCTAGTAAAGGCTTTCCTCCACTTTCCACAATTTGTTTGTTGAGTGCAACTACATGTTCCTGTTCATGGGGGAAAATACAAAGAGAATGAAGGGTGGAGGTGTGTGTTTTTACATACTTTTAAGAGACACATATACAACTTAATTCATTCCAAAACCATGGAAAATTAAATTAACACTGAAAATGCTATCACTGAAAGCACTGTATCCACATGACTTAAACAAATAGTATAGCTAGTACAGGAAAAACAGATAGCCTAAGGTAAAAAAGAAAAAAGATCAAAACGGTTCTTCCAAGGTGCCTTGACATATCAGGAAAAGGGGGGAAAGTGTTGTCATGACAAACAATTCTGTTGCAGAACTTGTATTTCCACACTCAACACCTGTTCCACAAGATGAAGATGACAAAACTTCCATTTTGCCAATGTCAACTTGTTTTTCAGTCATTACCCATGCAACACTGGAAACATCAGCCTTTAACACCTCTGCAATAGGCTTTTGACTGTTTGTGACAACAGATGACTCTCGAGTCTTACAAACGCTCACAGCAGCATCCACGGAGCATGTTCTCTCAGACTGCTGAATCTCAGAGCTGGTTTCAAACGATGCATAACTGCAGCTGGTTGTTGCCTGCTTCTCAGACAAATCTGGTGTGGGTGCTTGGAAATGGTTGGAAGCAGCCACAGTCTTGACTTCGCTTTGTAAGAAGCCTAATGCATCAACTATTTGGTGCTGGTGGTGCAAACACAGCTTTGACATGAACAGTTCCAAAGTGTTCACAGACTGTAGATCTTTTACTTGAGCAAGACTCAGGTCGATGGAGTCCCTGAAAGACCAGGCAAAAAAAAAATTGAAATATAAATGACACATTCTCAACTGTATAATACTGAAATGTATGTTGTATGTGACAAGCAAATAATATAAACCTGGTAAAAAGAGACTGTATATATCCTGATCTACCTTTTGACCAAATGTGTAGTTGGGCTGACATGAGAATTCCTTAAAGATGTATGGCCTTTGTTAAAATTCTTCTTAGTCGAAAGATCAAGAACTCCATCTAAAGAGACACAAATCATTCAAAACAAAGATAAACCAATTTCTTTTTAACTAGTAGCTCTTTACATATTTATAATTCTATACTGCACCTTGCTCAAAGTCCTCCACTTTGATCTTTCTCAGAGAAAGGTCCAGCGGGGCATCTTGGTCCACCATGACGAACTTTTCCTGAGCAGAAGCAACGGAGTCTATTTTGACAGCAGTGGATGAAGTGATACAGCTAGTTTTCAGAAGGCTTTGGTCCTTTTTTCCATTGTTCTGAAGGGAGTCCTGAGAGCAGTTGTTTCTTGAGGTATAATATGAAGCTAACTTATTAATCATCTGCTGCAAGATACCACAAGCTACCACAGGGATGTGAGGATCTGGAATTCTTGGCGCGTATTCTGTTGACAGTTCAATTAGACATGTTGTTAAAAATAAAGCGAACCGTATAATAAAATAAACATCAAAGACTGAAAATAAACATCACAGTTGACAAGGACTTCATTTGAATGTCCAGGAAATAGGACACTTTGATAAGAACAGACTAGAAAGTAAAATTCAGGCTTGGGGTAAATAGCTCTGCTAAATGCACATTAAAACTTGTGAGAGATTAATCGATTTACTTACTCTGGACAGTACCAGTAACTTACTACAGCAAACGTTGCAGTCACTTCCATCACTATAATGCACCATGTCTGACCATTAATTTTCACACAAATGACTGACTATGTGCTGGGATGCTCACCTTTCCTGTGTAACACTGCATTCAGGAATTCCTCTGATTGCCACTCAAGTCTGCTGATATTAGAAGGATCTTTACCTAGTAAAGGCTTTCCTCCACTTTCCACAATTTGTTTGTTGAGTGCAACTACATGTTCCTGTTCATGGGGGAAAATACAAAGAGAATGAAGGGTGGAGGTGTGTGTTTTTACATACTTTTAAGAGACACATATACAACTTAATTCATTCCAAAACCATGGAAAATTAAATTAACACTGAAAATGCTATCACTGAAAGCACTGTATCCACATGACTTAAATAGTATAGCTAGTACAGGAAAAACAGATAGCCTAAGGTAAAAAAGAAAAAAGATCAAAACGGTTCTTCCAAGGTGCCTTGACATATCAGGAAAAAGGGGGAAAGTGTAAATGAAAAAAAAAAAAACTACCTTCACTTTTTCTCGTCTTAAGCAGCAGAAAAGACAATTTTCATCAAATGACCAATTTGACACACTTGCAGGCTTAAAATCTGTGGATCCAAAAGAAGAGGCAAAATTCAACTGTGTGTGCAAGAAAGGGAACTTGGGGAAAAAAAAACTACCAGTTTTACAGTCCATTTTGGGTAAGTAAAATGGAAACAGTCAATCAAAAGCATCCTTTGACCAGTGCCATCGAGCTCTAGTGCCACCACCAGCTCAAAGAGGATATTGTTTTGGTTGTATCTTTGAACCCTTTGGTCTAGTATCATTGGCTGGACCAGATGTTTTGAATTTGTCATGTTGATCATCCAACTAGAGTAGAACATACAACTAACAGACCTTTTTCAAATTTCCGGGGTTTTCAGAAGTGGAGGGCTGATGATACACGGGGCAAGATTTTGAGCAGTGTTTCTGGGCAACTTTGGGTAATGTTGCCGTCAACCAGGTGAGACACAGGGCTCACGACCAATCTAAAGTATCCATATAGACATTTGTTACCCATTCTCAGTGGGAAAGTGCCCATGCAACATTGCTCAAAAAAAGTTGACCAGCAAAATTGCTCAAAAACTTGCTCCGTGTATCATCAGCCGAAGTCATCATAGTTAACTTTTATAGTGGTGAACAGAAAACTAGAACAAATATAATTTCTGAATTTTCATTTGCCACAATAGCAAGAGAAAACAACATTGTGATAGCATTTCTATGACTTTACAAAAAAAATAAATAAATTGAGATTATGGTCAGAAGATAGACAGAAGTTAGGGCTGGGACAATACGCTAATCTGCCGATTCAATACTATCCCGATACTTGTGTGCCGATTCAATATATATTGCGATAATTGAGTATTGCGACTATATATTATATATTGCGATTCGTTATTAAAATTTATTGCGATTTTTGTTTGCATATTAAAGACTAGACAATGGAAAATACTTGATTATACCCTTAAAAGAGACTGTATATGAAGAGTCATATTAACAAAAACAATGCATCACATCTTTCTGAACTTTTATTTCAGGAGCATACACATACACAGTGTCTATTTCAAGTACCTTAAACCATGAAACTTTCAAGTACGAAAACCCTAAACTTGCACATGAATATAAGTCAAATGTTCAACAAAATGAGTAGAAAAAATACTTTCTGAAATAAAATAAAGTGCTGTTACTTTGCATATCGTTTTCATTCATTCATGTATTTATTAAGCACCAATAAACACAACAGCAGTTGACCATAGTGCTGTACAAATAAGATAAAAACAATAATAAACAATAATGTCAATGAGAATAATAATAAAAATAAAAAAAAAACAAAGTTTAAAAAGTCAAAGTAAGAAAATAAGATTTCAATTTAGTTTTAAACTCAAGACAGAATTTGAAGTTTTCACAGATAAAGGAAGGCTATTCCATAGCCTCGGCCCAACTATTGCCAATGCACGATCACCTCTTGCCTTTAATCGGGATCTAGGCTGAGACAAAGAGTAGTTTTTTGTAGATCTCAGACATCTTGTTGGCTTTTTTTCTTTTAATAAGTCAGACAGATAAGAGGGTGCCAGATGATTTAGGGATTTAAAAACAAATACCAATATCTTAAAATCAATTTTATAACACACTGGGAGCCAGTTTAAAGTCTTTAAGATTGGAGTAATATGCTCTTGCTTGCGAGCCCCAGTTAAAAACCTGGCTGCAGCATTTTGAACCATCTGGAGTCGTGATACAGAAGACTGGGGTAGATCAACATATAAAGAAATACAATAGTCCAGACACGACAAGACAAGGGCATGTTTAACTCTCTCAAGATCTTTAAACGATAGCCAAGACTTGACTCTAGAGAGAAGTTTTAACTGAAAAAAAACGACTTCACTACTGTGTTAATATGTTGATCAAATTTTAGGGAGGAATCTAAAAGGACTCCCAAATTTTTCACAGTTGGTTTGATGGAGTTCAGATATCCCAGATTATGGTTTACATTAGCCTTATTCACCTGAGGCCCAAACACAATAACGTCTGTTTTACTAGAGTTTAAGCATAGAAAATTTAAAGACATCCAAGATCTAATGTCCTCGCATTAAATTTCCAACGCAAAGTAAATAACTGTCATTACGTCTAAATTAACTCATAAATCAAACAACTTCGTAAATTGCATAAACAATTATGCAAAACAGCATCATGTATTTATGCATTGCTTAGCCTAATACAAAGAGCCGAATCGCCCATCACACAGATTGCATTTAAAAACATAAGAGACGCAGTGAAAAGGAATAAATCTCCACAAATTCGTGACGTGTTTTCTAAAAGTTTAAACTGTTTTAACTTTTCATGGCTTTCTATACATCTCTTCTGTGAGACGTGAGCACAGCAGTCATATTTGTCCGTCTAAAAAATGCGCTGAATATGCGTTCTGTGCACTGATCTATAATAGAGAACTGGATTGCTCATGACGTCATGAAAGTGAAGCCGCCGAGCCGCCATATTGGTATTCCCCAGTATTCCCATACATTCCATCGTGCGCTATATCAAACATTTTTTTCTATCGTTATTGAAGAGGGTGTACCGTCTATAAATATCGATACAGTTTTATCGCCCAGGCCTAGTAGGAAACTAAAAGGACTCCCAAGTGTTTCACAGTTGGTTTGATAAAGGAGTTCAAATATCCCAGATTATGGTTTACATTAGCCTTATTCACCTGAGGCCCAAACACAATAACTTCTGTTTTACTAGAGTTTAAGCATAGAAAATTTAAAGACATCCAAGATCTAATGTCCTCTAGACATGCAAACAGATTTCCTAACCCTTTCATATCTTTTTGCTTCAGAGGCAGATATATTTGTGTATCATCCGCATAAAAGTGATATGCAGCGATCATTAGATATGATCTAATGCAGCGGCACTGCGCACGCAGAAGGTTGTGGCTAGAAGGGATACAGCTCCGACCGGAAACGAACAATGAAATTAATTTTCTACCCATTAGATTGTGTTTTATTAACGTCTACACCTACCCCAACCCTAAACCTAGCCCTTACAATAATGAAAAAATTGTAATTATTGTTGTACAGTGTGACAAAAATTACGCTGTATTGATGTGCACATGCCCAGTAGCGCCATACGTATCCCTTCTAGCCTTAACCCACGCAGAACGATCGTTGTATGACATCAAAGCACCGCGAGAGCTACAGAGAACAGACGGCTCTGCATGCTTTCGAATCTCTCTCGTGGTGCTTTGATGTCATATGCTGATCGTCTGCGTGGTGCTGCTCCAAGTCGAACACACCTATACACTTCGCCCTCTGTTGGAATCTCTCTAGATTAATGATGTTAATAAGTGTGGAAACGCATCATAGTCTGTGTAAAGGCTCTCATGATCTTTACTATGATCTGGCACCAAGTTTGGTGACACTGCCATCCACTGGTCAGGGGGAAAATGGCATTGTTTTTCAGTATTTCAATTACCAATTTTATTTACTCATGTATACATTAGTACAGAGGTCTTCAACCCTGCTCCTGGGGACCCACCGTCCTGCAGAGTTCAGCTCCAACCCTAATCAAATGCACCAGAACCAGCTAATTAAGCTTTTCTGGATCTCTTGAAAAGCTTAATTAGCTGGTTTGCTGGTCAGGCAGGTGTGCTAAAGCAGGTTGGAAATAAACTTTGCAGGACGGTGGGTCCCAGGAGCAGGGTTGAAGGACCTCTGCATTTGCATATTTGATTTGTATATCTGCCATAAATGTACATAGCGACTAACAGTGCATTCATGGTATCTGTTTTTCAGTTCAATGGCCAGCAGCTGTGGATGGGGATTTGGATTCATTTCAGGGAATTAAAAATCTGAATCAGCTCAAAAAGTTATTTGTTCAGTGATGCTTTCTGCAAGTTACAACACTGCACCAGTAGTTGATGACCAGCAAGTGTCTTTGTGTATAACTCTGATCATCGTTTACTTCTGATTATCGGTTCTAGAAAGACAGTGGGTCTAGGCAGTATATAGACTTTGTAAATTATAGGGCTGCACGATTAATCAAATACAATTGTCATGCGCATCTTGTCAGTAAAGCCGGTTCTGTGATTAGTAGTAAATCTCCATCATGTGCTTTCAGATGGAGCAGCATTTACTACACAGAGCCGTAGTTCACTGACAAGCTACACAAAATTCAATCGCGCGATTATGAAATCAAAGACATCGTTCTGCAATAACGAAAGCTGTTTGCGTAGCTTCTCAGTGGCTCATTTTTGGTCATACCGCCCAGCGCTAGCTAATCAAGATCTTCTACGCATTGAGCTACTATATTTCTCTAATATTTTGAACGAATAATGCAGCAGCGGCGCGTCTCGTGGGCTAGACTAACAAAACATTAAAATGCAACAACTTCACTTACATCATCATCACCGCATCTCGTGCTCCACTAATGACGCTCCCTGATGCACTCCTAACATTCAAATGCAAATTTTTATTTTAAATTCGACTAATATTCATTCTTTATTCACAATCTCCTCATCACAGGAAGGCACAGTACTCAGCATGTGTTCGTGTTTGTGTGAGCTGTCTGCATCACAGAGTACGTGCCTATATCGTGCGCTATATCGAACATTTTTTCTATCGATATCGATGAAGGTATACCGTCGATAAATATCGAAATCGTTTTATCGCCCAGGCCTACGATTAGCATTGCATTATTAAATACTTTATTATAATGAAAATTATAGTAATAATTATAATAAGATCTCAGATAGGCCTAAATCATATATTGTCTTAGTCCTGTGTTTATTTTATTTATTTTTTTACCTTTATTTATATAGCGCTTTTAACAATACAGATTGTTTCAAAGCAGCTTTAAGGCCGTTTCAAACTGAGCGTGATGCGAAAATGTGAGGCGAATCGCCGATGAACGGTACTTTCACACCGAGCGCGAAATGATTGATCACCTTCTGCTAATTCACACCTGCACGCTAGGTGGCGCCAACCAGCAATGCATTTTTCCTCAGATATGCATCTCGTATATGGATTTAACATCGTCCGCTGCTCAATATACAGCATTCAATTAAGATAAATAA